GTTTCGGGTCTTCTTTTTTCTAAAGATGAAGCGGCTTCTTGATATTGGCTGTGTGAGGCTGGCAGGGACCTGCCGTGGGCCACACTAAGAGTGTTCAGTGACGCGGGAACTCGAAGGGTCGATATGTGCTCGCTCTGCGGGTTGCCCTATCTGCTTTTGGGGTTTGTGTAACAGACGCTATACGTGTTGTGCAACTACCTGTCCAAGCTGCTCGATGGAGGGTTTCGAGGAATCTGTATCTCCGACCTTTCTCCTCGATACCCTTGCCGCTTTGCCAGAGGCGGTAGTAGCAGCAGATTTTGCGTAAATATGATACATATCATATGTTGATATCACACGGTCATTATCATACACAACCCGAATCATAAGAGCCAAGGATCTAGGAAGTCTTGAAGCATTAAGACGCCAGGACCAGACACCCAAATCACCCAGCAGGGGTTAACGAGAAACCTGAATCCCAACGCATCTGATAACAGAGAGGAGATATAGTGAGATCTGCAAAATAGTCTGTCTACGTGGAATGAAAGGAACTAATGGAAATGACAGAGCACAGTCCACGCGGAATCATGACCGTTGCCACTCAGACCCGTCCGTCCGTCCGTCGCCTTGGCCGGGCTCGGTCGTGCGTCTTGGTCGATGAGAGAACAACTCCTCGTTGAGATGATCAGTTCTCAAGCCCCCTTATGCTCGACAAGTGCCATGACCTCGACCTAGGGGGAGGGGTGATAGGACCTCTTTCCATCCATGCCTACGGGAAATGACCGTTCATATGCGAATGAGTTTCCCTTCGCTGTGGTCAGCAGCCCGAGATCGGGTTGACGTACAGTGCAAATCAGGTCTCTCGGGATGGCCCCGATCTAGCCTCTGCCGGAAATAAGGCAACGCGTGTTGGACATCCTGATCTCGCGCTTCCAAGTGGGTTGGGGAACGGCAGGCTACCGGGGTTCAGGTTATTGTCCATGCCTCACTGTTGGCTGATGGGAAGACGAAACAAAGAGCCAACGGGTTTTCTGGCTCTGGGACATGACATGACATGGGGGGGGGGGGGGCTGGATGAAACCAAACCTAATCACAGGGTTTACTTTACCTACCCCGGGTGGTTTATTGGGAGCGACAAGGTTTCCATCTACCGTTGGGATGGGGTTGTGATTGCCAGCTCTTGGCCGTGTTCGGGTGCGAGTTGATGATCTGACCGTTTGATGTCAGGTTTCGAACGGTCAGACAACGCAATTACTTTCCAATAAACGCAAACGCCAAGCCGGCACCCTACGATATCCACGAAAGTACACAGGGGATTCACTTGAACACAAAGGAAGAAGTGGAAGAAGAGATGGTCGTGGAGTGCCACGTCCGGTATCATCCAACATGTAGGGTAGGCTGGGTACTCGATCTGGGGAACAAAAAGCAACGCGCCATCAAACCCCGAATAGGGCCTACTTGCTAGCCAATGCTAGGAAGATCGACGCCGTTGTTTGGCCATTGCTAAGCGAGGTGGTCCCCCTGGCCAGGAAATCAAACCAAGCTGTGGAATTTCGTTGATGGGCGCCCCATCCGCCGTTGCGCTGGATTCCCCTCTCCTCGGCGTCGGGTGCTGATCCAGCAGAATGGGCCAGAGGAACAAAAGTCGCTATCAGCATCTAATTAGAACCCAGGACAATGGGCTGTTGGTTCATGGGCATGGGCATGGGCATGGGAGGGAAAAAGGTAGGGGGGTTGGCCCATCCGCGAGTCAATATCGTGCTTGGATCCCTGGAAGGTTTCGACCGCGATGGGCTGCGACGGTGTGGCTTCACTTCCATCACGCATCCGACGCAGGTGATGCTCTCGTATTCACCAGCTGCTCCGACGCAGTAGCCCACACTCCCTTGGTGCAGGATCTGGGCCGGTGGCTCATGTAACCATGGCCAGGCCAGCCCCGGGGTCTGTCGCGTAGGTTGATAGAGCAAAGCCACCAGGAAGGAAAACGTGAGGCTACTAGGTAATTGCTACTGGGTCTAAGTAGACGGAGGGCAAGTCTTAGCGAATCGCGAGGGCCCCGATTCCTCGAGCCATTGATTCATGTAGTATATCCCCCCCCCTGAGCTGAGGCTCGATGGACAAGGCCTGTTTCTCCCGGTTGAAAAAACAAAGCCCTGGAACCCTGACGGTCTTTGCCTGAGCATCACTATTTTAGCCCCATCTGCGGGAGATTGAGGTTCTCTAAACGCGTTTCCTAGCTCGAGCACTCGAGCCTAGCCAGAATCATCATCCCGGTCGAACGACAAGGGACGCGCTACCAAGAGGGCGAGACCCGGGGAAAGCAAACCCAGCCTGCCTGTAGGAACAATACAACCAACCAACAGTTGTGGCCGGGTACGTAGCCTATCTATCCCCTTCCCCCGATCACCCAAGGGGAAAAAAGAAACGATTAGAAACCCTGGGGGGGCCATGGCCAGCGGATGGGACATGGTGCATTGCCGTCTCGGTCCCTGGAGTGCGACAACGGCCCAGTCGTGCATAATGCAGACATTCGCATGCGGCCAGCACTAAGGTAAGAAGCATACAACCCAAAAAGCCTGTGACGTCTTACTTGCCTAGGCGCGCGGTCGGCCGGCCGGCGGCGCATAAAAAAACAGACACCAGAGCGATATGGCCGAGGGTCATCATGAGGAGAGAGGGAAAAAGCAACGTTGTGTGGGGATCGTGATATTGCATCGTAGATGAATCATGCACTCCACCAAACCTCATCCATTATCGCGCATACGCGAGCTACGACGTGGTTTAGTACAGTAGGGAACAGGGGGGGAACCACTAAGAAGAGTAAATAAAAAAACGAATGAGAGAAAATTCCCGCTTTGGGCTCTCTTAGGGCCGGCACTGAGGAGTATCCCAGGAGAACAAGATGATGGTGGTTGATGACGGGATCCCCTCCTCTACACACGCCCCCCGTGAGAGGACGGTAGTTCTTGCGGGTGGCGGCGGAGAGGAGATGATCAAAGGAAAGGGAGAGGAGGAGATGCTCTTTTCCGTTGGCTTTGCCCCTGCACACAAGACAAAGAGAGAGAGGCACCATCCTCAGCCAACAGCTAACGTTGGAGCCCCCCCGGCGATGGTGATTTTTGCAGGCCATGGTCCCCCCGTTTCTCCTCTCGGCATCGTGCAGGGCCGTTTTTGTGCAAGCTTTCTTTGACAGCCGCGGGAGCAAACCCCCTCCCCTGGCCGCCATGGCAGTGTTCCTATTGGCCGTTCCCGATGCTGGCTCTGCCCGCTTTACTTGTGCAGGCAGGTAGGTGGCTCAGGCGAGAGCTGCGGGAAGCAGGAAAAAGAAAAGACGACCTGAGGAGGAAGTAGAATAGGCGAGAGGAGGGCGCGGTTATTAGACTTTGTGGCTACATGTGGTGTGTGTACGTGCGTGTGTGCGTTGGCCGCGGATGTGACAGCCAACACAGCATAGCATAGCATATGACTGAAGTTGAGCAAGCGAGTGAGACGAGATTCAGGTGGCGGAGGGAAGACGAGATGTGCCATATCGCAGGGCCGAATGCAACATGATACATGACTTACATGGATGGTGATGGAGGTGGTGACTGGTTATGTTCTCTCCTCTCAAATACTTCACCAGGCGTCCAACGTGCGGAAACATGATTGCATATCACTGTAGGGGTCTCTCCAAAGCCAACTTGCTATTGGCATGTCATATTACGGCATCCACTACCTTTGTAGGTGGACATACAGCAGGGAGCCATATATTGGACCCAGATTGCCAGACTCCCATGGTAAGACTGTATGAGAAAACCACATCTCTACTGTACGCGTGCGAAAAGCCTGCCGTCCAAGTCACGGCGAGTAGTCACACCACCAATAACACCGTACCGCATGAGAGAGATGACAAGAGAACAAGACAAGTCAGCACAGAGTTGATAAAAAAGCAAAAAGCTGACTGCTTACTGCTGGTGATAGTGGCTGAGTGTGTGATGTGTTATGTGTGACAGACAAAAGGGGGCGGCGGAGTTGTCAATCATCTAGGCAGATATGTTCTTCCTGTTGGTATGTATATGTAGGTAATAATATGAGAAGAAGATGTGTCTGGAAACTCTCCCAATGCGCCCAGGTATCATCACAAACGTCAAAACCTTCCCCCAGAACACGAACAAAGGAAAAAAATAATTAATAAACATCAGAAGCCTCGTTCAATCGTCCCACCCACGCGTCAGATCAGATCCTTGCTTTGCCAACCTGGCTCTTTCCCTTCTTTTGTCGATCTCACTAATAATACTATCCCATGGCGAATCCATCCGCGGAAACCCACATTTGCGACTATTGTCACCTCTTAACAGCCCCGCAGCTGCCATGCTACTACTAGTGTCGTCTTTCCGCTGATGCAAAACAAGCTGGTTGATATGTAGCGGCTCGGAAAGGGAAGAGAGGCAGTGCAGGACGAGGGTGTGCGGATGCGAAGAGTCGAATTAGGTCGGCGCCTGTATATACAAGGCCGTGACCAATGTGATAGATACCATGTGATATGACATGTCCTGTATGATACAAATCCAGCCGCCGCCGGCCAAAGTGTCTGTTCTTACTGGATGCTGTACGAACTGGTCAGTAACGAGTACACAATGACCTTCCACGGCATGATTTTTCGGTTCTGATGGGCTTAACGAAAAGAAAACAAGTTTTGTTGGTTGCTTTTGACGCCCTAGTGGGGTCGTCCTAATATTTGCCAGTCGTTCGTTTCATAATGTCCCGTACTTTCTTTTTATAAATCATCCAGAGCCAAAACCAAGAACGACTCAATCATTATCTGACATGGAGGCAAACGACCACAGGCTTAATATGTAGCAAGTGAAGGCCTGGTGATGCAAGCGTGTGAGTGTGAGTGCAAGTGTGCGTGTGGGTATTTGTGTGCGGCGGGTATTGCGGTAGATAAAGTGATGGTGTGGTAAGGAATTAAACACGAACCACCCAGTTGAGGTGTACATATGGGTTCGAGGGTAGAATTAGCCGCTATTTTAAGGGAGCCCTTACAGGATTAACTGCTTCAGATTGCGCTGGATGATCATATCCTGCACCGAGCCCATGGTGATCTTCAGCAGGTTGGTGTCCGTGGCGTTGGTGAAGTGTCCGTAAATCTCCTTCTCCGGGTTGCGGTTCAGCGCCCTGAATTTGTCCAAGAAGTACTTACTCGCGGAATCAGCATCGGCTGCTGGGCCCGCGTAGTCAGTAAATCCATAATCGCCGATCGGGCTTCGGGGAAGCTTCTCTCGGAAAAGGTCCATCTTGTTTAGGAAAAGAATCAGAGCCGACTTGGTGAACCAGTGCGAGTTCACAATCGACTCCCACAGCATGAGAGCCTCGTTCATTTGGTTCTATAGACAACTGGTTAGAGGGGACATAGTTTTGGGTACTGCCTGCAGGCAAGTACGTGGGCGATACTCACTCCGTCCTTGTCTTCCACCAGACACTGATCATAGCCGCTGATAGCAACCAAGAACAGTAGGCAGTTGACGTTCTCGAAACAGTGAATCCACTTCTTTCGCTCTGATCTCTGGCCACCAACATCAAACATCCGGTAAGTCAATTGGCCCAGGTCAAATATCGTTTCTGTGATACCTGTTGTTCGTAGTCGCGAGCGAAGGAGATCTTGGTCGTTGGGCACGTAGTCGACTGCCCACAATCGATCGACATCCTCAATGAAGCTACACACGTTGCCAGGTTAGTCATGTTACGACAGCCAGGTCTGACAGTCATCAACCCACTATGAGAGATTGTCGTGTAAGGCGTATTCGTTGCCCTTGGCGATGGCAGCCTTGACACCAGCGTCCTGCCACAGAGCCTTGACAGGCTCGAGATAGTCAAGAGGCATTCGCTCCTCCAGACCAATTTCGCGCTCAACTAGCACCAGCGCCATGTGTTTCTGTTATCAACCAAATTAGCCATTGTCTCGTGCAACCTTTCCCCAGTCACCACCGAATTGAATCTTTTCAACCCCGCGGTTCGCATCTTGCGCCGCATTTCTGACGGCGAAGGCTTGCATGACACCCGTATTCCCGGGATGGCAAAGCGCACAAGGCCCATGAAGATTTGACAACTCGCGGTTTGTGTTGCTCGGGGGTTGTTGGGAAAGCAATCTTACCTCGCTCTCGGGCTTCTCAAAGCTAATGTTCAGCTCGTTCATCGCATCATGGATAGTCTTGAAGGACTGCACAATGTTGTTGAAGATGACGGGTTTCCACTCAAGCTTCTCGCTCTTGCTGAAACCTTGTGTGTAGATGAGTTTCATCTGCTTCAGAATCGTTGATTTTCCTGACTCTCCAGCGCCTATAAATGATGCCAACGAGGGCCATTGTTAGCAAGTTGCTAATTTGAAACAAAAGAAAAGACACTCGCCCACAATGGGGTGGAATGCTTGCCGGGAGGATCGGCGACGGGACGGGAGCTCGACAGACAAAGGGGGGGAGGGGGGTTCACATACCCAGCAGCAGAAGCTTGACTTCCCTCGTCATCCGCTTCTCATCTTGACGAATCTGCTTATCGATCTCTCTCGACCGGGCGACGCCGGTGTCGCCGTCCTTGCGGCTGCCAAAGCACATAGTGTAGGACTTGGGTGTGGATGGGTGCGCGGTAAAAGGAACCCTCGATGCCTCGGGGTTCGGGGAACGACCGATTCCTGCGTCGCGGGGATCGTCGGCCTTGCTCTACGCTGAAGGGAAGCAGCGCGAGACCACCGGAAGGATAGGATTGAAGTATAAGTCGTCGGTCTTGCTAACGGCCGGGATAGGTCGAGGAAACCGGGTCCGAATTGCAATCGCTCTCAAGGTCGCAGCGACATTCGTGGATGCCAGCGACAGGATGGGCCCAGCCAGATGCAAGATAGAGTGTCGGATGCGAAGGAGAAAGGCGAGCGAAAGGACGAACAGATCAAGACACACGGTATCTGACGTTCATGGAATAGAAACAAAGCAAAGCAAACAAGCAACCACAGGCATGGAGGGAAAGGTGGTAATGGTGAGGTTGCAAGATGGGCCGCCTGCCTCCTGGGACATGGTCTAGCAGTGGTGTTGCGAGGCGAGAGCACGGACGAGGCCCATTGGCGGAAATGGACATGGATGGGGATGAGATAAAGCCAAGGCCAGCAAGCCCCCAAGCGGGAATAGAATGCAACTGGATGGGATAGGGATTTGAGCTGCTAGGCTGCAAAGCGAGAGTGCCGCGGTACCTCTGCTGGACGTTACTCTGGACCGGGTTGCAGGGGAGGAGGCGAGGTGATTCGCAAGTGGGCAGCTGCAAATGGGGAGTGGGGCCAGCGTAAGGTGCAAGTGCAAGACAGGACAGGCATGGGCCTGAAGAACTCAAGAACTGCTGCTGCAGTCCGTGCGGGCCTGTCCGGGGCCTGCTGGGCTGCTAATTCCTCCGAATTACCGCTAATGTCGAGCCTCTGTCGGGGTCTTTTTACGCCACCCACAGTGGGACAGGCGACCCGACCTAGCTGGCCGCTGGCTGGGTGCCTGCTTCCTGCGGCTAGCAACAGCAGCCAGGATGGAATGATGGCTTTGCGGACTGATAGGTTACCCAGGGAGCATGGCCCCCGCTGTATTCAGCAGCCGTGCCGAGTGCACAGAACAGAGCAATCTTAAGGGTTTGCCAGGCTGGTGCCACCTTGCCCTGGCATCTGCCTGTGCTGGTATCACAATGCGAAGACAAAGGATGCGGCAGCTCCCTGTCGTTAGCCCGTTCTCTGAAGCAGCCGTCACGTCCACAGCAGTAGCTCGAAGCTGGATCAGCAGCCAGCGTCAGCCTTCTGAAAGCCACCCCGCTGCAGTCCAGAGGCTGCAGGTTCGACCACCAACTATCGGCCTCCCAGCGGATTAGTGGGGCTCTTGCGTCCGGATGGGCGCTATTTGATCAGCGACCGGCAGAAGCTCCTACAGGGGGAAACACCGGCCCAGGCGCTGTGTCCGTTTCTGGTCCCCACTAACCAGGTTCAGTCTTTCGTCGACTTCGCTTTGGATCCCATTCCTGGGGCTCTCAGCAGCCTCTCCCAAGGCAGCGTGATGGCTGACGAGGAATGGCTACGCAGCAATTAGCAAGTCGTCTAGCTACGCGCGTGTCGCAGGCCTATCCCAGCCCAGATGATGGTATGTGCGCCAAGCGAGGAAACATTCATTCTACTGTAAGAACCTGTCATAAGCGCACCCTGGCAGCCTGCTATTAACTAATATGCCTAGCCTGTCCGTTTTGGGAGGCGTGTTTATCCCCAGGGTCACATCGGCTTGGCCTTCTGTAACCCAGTACTTTCGTTGTCTGTGAGCAATGTTTGTTGTTGTTTTTATGCATGTCAGCAGCGGGTGTGTAAGAGAACCCAAAAGTGCCGGAGTTGAGGCAACCATAGAGACGGCAGAGAGGCCACCATGATCATGATCACCATCAGCTGCTGGACACATGCTCAACCTGGAGGTCTTAGAGCTTTCTGCTACAGGGAGAGCATGAAGATGTGGTGACCTGGACACCATCCGCGCACACTAGCAGGGGCAGATGGGTGCGCCATCTCTACTCTTCTTCCTTTTTCCTCTGGTCGCTTAACTGTCGACGCAGGAGGGACTTCACAGACCAGCCCATGATTCGATGAGCAAGCCTTTGGGAGATTGAACCATTTACAGGGCGCGGCACGGTAACGGTACCGGTCTTGGTCGGGCCGAGCCAAGTGCACAAACAGGCGACATTGTGATATATGTGCCTCTAGCTGCTGTATTATTAGAGTACTGCTGGAATGGAGAGGAAGGCCGAGGAAAGAATAGGAATAAAGATATGATCTGAATAGGGATATATCATCTGCATGCCACGGCGAAGGATGATGGACGTACATACGCAATGGCACCTCAGTCATTACTGTATGTACTCAGCTGCCATCACTATGCACCTCCAAGGAGAATGGAGGAGGGTAATATTGGCTTGGGTAGGGGTAAGTAAGCCTTGGGCGCATTATCATGGTAGGGTTGCAACCTGCCGCGTGGTAACTTCAGGCTCTATCGCCATTGTACGTGTATTGGCCATGTGCAACAACAAAGACCAGGCCGGCCAAGTTCTCCTGAGAGTAGGCCAGGGCTGTTAAGGGGCTGTTGGCTCTCCCTGGCCCAAACTCAACCTTTCGTGTCCCAGCCAGCTCAGCACCGTCCAAGCGTTTTTTCTCCGCTAACAACCTCTGTGGGCCGATGGGAAACAGCTTCATCAAGACGACCCCACGCGAACCCAGAAGCCATGTGCCAGGGAAGAGGCTGGAGCCCACTTGGCCTCGCTCGAGGTGCCTCCTCTTGCTGGCAGGATGGATGGTGGCTCGCACCAGCTAGTCGTAGCGAGGCCACGAGAGAGCGGATCACCCATCCAGTAGAAAGCCTTTAGTAATGCTGGCACATGGCCAGGCAACTGAAATGCTTGACTCGTGTGTATGCAAGTTCGTCTGCTTCCAGTTATCTCAACTCATCCCCTGCGGGTCTCCCAGACAGCAGCCCACCTTCATCCCGTCCCCATGCGAGCAGCATGTTTCACTTTTAGGATGGCCCCGCTCCTTAGCCAATTGGACAATATCGGGTGTGGTGGTACTTGCTGACGAGCTTGGCATCAACAAGGCAAACAGGCTTCTGTAGCTTGTCTTGCCTTGCGTATCATGCTCGGATTCACCAGTCTGGACCCACGCTTATGATCCTTTTACAGAGAAGCAGTCTCATGCCATGGCTATTTTTAGGGAGATGGAATGGAGACTCATTGGACAATAAATGAATCAATGAATGAAGGACCTGACTAAGTAGATGCGAGAGTATTACCCGGACCGAAGCAAAACATGCCCTGCCCACAGCAAGGCCATGTGCATTCATAGTTTTAAGATGGAGATCAGCAGAGACGCCTTGATGGAGCAAGGAGAAACTGCCGAATACGGAGTTTCAGGCGGCTTACCAGCCAGTACACCCGGATTCCTTCCGAGGCGAGCCATCAATCACACAGGGATGGCTTCACTCAGTGACAGCGCGCTTCTCTCTGTCTGTGCCGCGCCACGGGACCTCGGGGTTTCGGAAAGGGAGCTTGATACCCAATGCGCGCCTGTTTGAGATCCCTAGGCGTGCATTGGCCTCTGATGATTTGATTTTATCCTCCTAGCTTCGGTCTGTGCTGGGTTGAGGGATAATGCTCGGAGAGGAGAGCGTGTCGACCGAATCGGCCGGCCGATCTTCGCACGAGACGATGTACAGCCACGGGGCAGGCTGCAGACGGTATGGCACAACGATCCTGTCAACCAAACGGCTTGGCCATGTAAAGGTGACCAACGGCTGCGTAAAAACTGCCTGTTTGCATGGGAAGGATGAGCCTAGACTCCACCCGCGATGGGCGGTAACTACTCAACTGCGACGGTATTACTCCAATACTACTCAATGTATGCAGAGCGCGATCCTATGGAAGCCTCACGCGCCTAAACTTAAGATCCTTTGGTCCCTGCGATGGCACTGCCCTCTCTAATATCGTATGAGCTGACGCTGCCCTCCGCTAAACAGGAAGCAGCCGATCCGGCCCGTTCTCCGACCCAAGCCTTGCTTCGATGCCGAGATGTGGCAGTGTTAAAATAGGGACACTGCCGCTCTGAGCTACACATGCACTTTCTTAATATCGCTTCGGGTAGGTGGTAGAGACAATGTTGTTGGTTCCATCCGCGTGTGCTGGACCTACCGCATTCATCCTCTCTCATGCTACCCACGAACCTTACTCCCGACATCTACCGCCTGCATAACCAAATACATCGGTAGGTCGCCAATGGTTTGCCAGAAGGGCCGGATGTGGGTTGTGTAGTATGAAACTTTACTGTTGCTAATGGAGGCCGCACTGGAATGTTTCCGTGGATGTTTAGTTCGAGCTCCGGCTAGAAGGTTTCACACATCATTGGACCGGTAGGTCGGCTATATCAATGGGCTATATGCAAGACGTCGTCCCACCCTGGAGCAAAACCCTACGCGTCTTTGATAACCGATAGGTTCTGGATAAACAGAGCACTGGATTTTCTCCCGTGGGCCGGAGCACAGGAAGATACTAGCTTCATGAACGGAGGGTATCTGGGACAAGAAGGTTGTTGAAAAAACAATGATGTGGTTGAAGACCCTAGACCTATAGGGTGAGCCATTGTGCTGGGTTGGGGAAGCTATCAACAACTTCTTATCAGCAGAGGGTCAACCGGCTCCGATAGAGGTTGGTATGCTATGGCGTCCCAACGATCCCATCTCTGGTTGCCTTTGAGACAAGCTTAGACCACGAGGGTGGTAAGGCGGCCGAAATGGTGGGGGACTCGGTGAGCTTGATATGAGCCGCCCAGGAGCTCCTTTATGATATCATTGTCTACTGCTAGGTAGTGACACACGGTCTTGGCTGGTTCAGTATGAGAGCTCAAAACAGAGACAAGCCCGCTTGTAATACCTTCACAAGGTAGCTCAGAGGTCAACGAAACACGGGATTGGCCGCATGGACAAGAGGCTTTTATTGTGTATCCGATGTGCTCGACTGTGGTCTGTTGTTCCTTGCTGATTAGCCTTTCCGGCTGCCGCGAACCCAATCAGGCGCCGGACCTGGCTCCAATGAAAGTTTTTTTTAGTTTTTTTTTTTTCCACACACACACTATGACAGCACATGCGTCGACTACGGGAAGTGACGTCTAAGGCGGTGGATCATCTTCATGCTAAGACTGCCACCGCGTTGCTCCAAGCTCGAGTATACAAACAAAAGCCAGTCCACCGCCATATTCCCTCTTCTGCCCCTCCCATCACCTTGGTCCCCTCACTGTGCCAGCGCCTATATTTCTCCTCTTCCAGTTCTTCGCCGCAGCGCCTAAATTCAATCACAATGTCCAACGAGATTGTCCACGAGACCATCAAGGGTAGGTCCCCAGTGAAGAGAAAATTCTGCCCCGCGATGCTGCCCCTCCATGCCCCTCACCCAGCTTCATGGGTTTGGCCCGTCACGACCTGCTGTCGACCACGAATATGGTCTTGCGGCGGATCTGGCACTCGATCAATTCGCCAGACTAGAGTGTACCCAGTTACGAACCTGCCATTCCCTAATTATCTCCACCGGTTGCCCAATGAGTCCCGATATTGCTCCTTCTCCTCCGTCCCAGACGACACTCAGAAGCTGAAATCTTTGTTTTCCCCAATCACCTGCGCGACCACCCAGTACACTAACGTTCCTTGGTTCGCTGACATTCTATATCCTCAGATGGCTGGTTCCGCGAGATCAGCGACATGTGGCCTGGTAAGTGTTCAATCCCACTTCTGTCTCTGACCTCCCACTGACTTTCCACGCTCAGGCCAGGCCATGACCCTCAAGGTCGAGAAGGTCCTGCATCACGAGAAGAGCAAGTACCAGGATGTGCTCATCTTCAAGTCCACTGACTATGGCAACGTCCTCGTCCTCGACAATGTCATCCAGTGCACCGAGCGCGATGAGTTCTCCTACCAGGAGATGATTGCCCACCTTGCCCTCAACTCCCACCCCAACCCCAAGAAGGTCCTTGTTATTGGTGGCGGTGACGGTGGTGTCCTTCGTGAGATTGTCAAGCACGACTGCGTTGAGGAGGCCACTCTTTGCGACATTGATGAGGTTGGTACCTGACCACATACATACACCCAGAGCTGCTACGCATTCTCTTCGGACCCAATTGCTAAGCAGTATCCGCATACAGGCCGTCATCCGCCTCTCCAAGCAGTACCTCCCTGAGATGTCCAAGGGCTTCGACCACCCCAAGTCCAAGACCCATGTTGGCGACGGCTTCAAGTTCCTTGCCGACTACAAGAACTCCTTCGATGTTATCATCACCGACTCCTCCGACCCCGAGGGCCCTGCCGAGAGCCTCTTCCAGAAGTCGTACTTCCAGCTTCTCCACGATGCCCTGCGCGAGGGCGGTGTCATTTCTACCCAAGGTTGTAGGTTCCCTTTTCTTTATTGTGGAAAGTTGTGGGGTCCCTAGGCATAGGCGATTTGTGAGAGGAGCCTGCAAGTGCACGGTGGTTTTCCTTCTTCTCATTTGGTATCCAATTTGGGTACCCTCTCATCCTACCTAGGGACTGCCCGAAGCCAGTGCTGCTTTCCTACAGCCTTCGCTTCCGGTAGTCCCGTGTTGCGTTTATTGCGTGCGAGTTTGTTCCTCTTCAGATTAGCGGTCGGGGGCAACCGCTGTGGTTGTTCCCGCTTCCGCCCTCTTTAGAAAACCACCGTCCACCGTTGAAGTTTGGCTGGCCTTCACCTCTCTGTTTAACTGCGCCCATGGCCCTACCTCAGGCGCACGGTTATGCTAATATCACGTGTTGATACAGCTGAGAACCAATGGCTCCACCTTGACCTGATTGCCCGCCTCAAGAAGGACTGCAAGGAGGTGTTCCCCGTTGCCGAGTACGCCTACACCACCATTCCCACGTACCCCTCCGGCCAGATCGGCTTCATGATCTGCACCAAGGACGCCACCCGCGACGTCAAGGTCCCCGTGCGATCCTGGACCCCCGAGGAGGAGGAGGAGAAGTGCCGCTACTACAGCGCCGAGATTCACAAGGCCGCCTTCATCCTGCCCACCTTTGCCAAGAAGAGACTCCAATAGATGGTGTATGTCGTTTTAAGATTTAAAAAAGGAGTAACGAATAGATATTTGTGGCAAAAAGGGAATTAGGCGAAAATGAGCGAGCGGAGCTATTCAGGATATTTCTGATCAATAAAAGAGACTACGAAGTCATGGTTTTATGATATCCGAGTGTCGTATTAATCTGATGCATAGTGTCTGAACATAACGACCATCTATTGATACCTTGAGTTACGAACGCTCTTCACGGAATGAGTATTAGAATGACGTTTCATAGTGCCATCTATTAATTCTACGGCCAAGTTTTCTTATTTATTTTGGGGTTTCTAAGTCAGGGTCCTCAAACTGTATCTTCCCCTTGCTCACGTCCGGATACACATCGAACCTCCGCTGCGTGTTGAGGGCGATGTTCCTCCGCGTCTCGGCGAGCTTCTCGTCCACCAGCTCGACCTGGATGATGGCCTCGTCGGCCTCGGCCTCGTCGAGCACCTGGGCCATGGGGTCGACGACGAGGGTGTGCCCGTAGGCGTGGTAGCTGGCGTCCAGGTCGCGGGCGGGGCTGCACATGGCGACGTAGATCTGGTTGTCGACGGCGCGGGCCTGGGCGAGCAGCTTCCAGTGCAAGGGTCCCGTGGTGAGGTTGAAGGCGCCCGGGTAGACGAGGGCGAAGGCGCCCTTGCGGGCGGCGATGGTGGCGAGCTCGGGGAAGCGCACGTCGTAGCAGATGGCGACGGCGATGCTGCCGTACTCGGGCAGGTCGACGAGGGTGATCTGGTTTCCCGGGCTGAGGACGTCGGACTCGTGGAAGGAGATCTTGCCCGGGATGTCGATGTCGAAGAGGTGGACCTTGCGGTGGGTGGCGAGCAGCTTCCCGTCCGGCCCGAAGATGAGGCTGGTGTTGTGGTACTTCTTGGTGGAGGGGTTGAACTCCGGGATGGAGCCGCCGACGAGGTAGACCTTGTTGTCGGAGGCGATGCGGCTCAGCGCGTGGTAGGAGGGCGCCTGCTCCTCGGAGGGGGGCGAGGGCAGCAGCGTCTCGGCGTACTGGGGGAAGTAGTCGGTGCCGTAGGGGGAGTTGAAGCACTCGGGGAGCACGACGAGCTTGGAGCCGCCCGAGGCTGCCTTGGCGACCTGCTCCGCGGCGTGTTTGAGGTTGGCGGCCTTGTCGGCGCCCGAGGCCAGCTGGATGCAGGCCAGCTTCAGTGGCTTCTTGAGCACGGCGGGGGAGGACATTTTGCGCGCAAAGGAGTACCGTGTGGCTAGAGGGATGTTACGGCCGAGTTGGAGGAATGCAGGACGGATGAGTGAGTTGCAGAACCTTCGCATGGCTCGACGGCGGAGATGCTAGCAAGAAAACTGCGCAGTATGGATTCTCTTATACGTCGGCCGGGAGCTTGCGATAGCGGAGGGCTCTGAGGCGTGATGGGATGGATGGTGGGGTTGTTTGGCGTTGAATTTCATGTTATCGGCAAGCGGAGTCCGTCTCCGACAGAGCCCACCATATCAATTGGACCCGGGCCCCATCTTAGCTCTGTCTACTTTTGCACTTGAAGGCCCCGTGGCGTTAGATAGCCGCATATGGTTCTCGAAGCCTTCGGCGACTAGATTCCTCTGGACGCTATATGTTCTTTGAATTCGAGATGAGGTGGGGACCAGCTTGACACAAGACGTCACTGGGACTTGAGTGAAGGCGATAAGATAGGGCCAGTTAATTCTGGTGCCTGGGCGCAAGTGGAGAAACTTGCTGGCAGTGCCACACTACAAGGGATGCTGCGCCTATCGATAAACATCCGGGCTCATGCTTGGACGCCTTAGGTCAATCTGGCATTCCACCTACCTCGTCTCCTTCGTCCCATCACCAGATTGCTGCCTCAACATCTCAACAAGTTGCCAGAATGACGAGATCGTATGTGTACGCCTCAGGACTCGTGGCCTTTGTCGCTGGTAATGCCTTCATGCCCCCTCCCCGTCAAATCCGCCACCCCCGCGGTCGGGTCTGCCTCTTGGTGATGACGTCGCTCTAGTGGGTGGGGACCCGATGATAAGGCTCGAGAATACTGACGATGTCTTATAGCGACCGCGTTGAATCTAGCATCCATCGCTGTGCCTCGATGGATCACATTCTCGGTCCATGCTGGCGACGAGAAGATTGAACGGCAGATTGGCCTGCACAAGAGCTGTTCGACTCTGGATTCGCCGCACTGCCGCGACTTCCCGTACAAGGACCTTTGTCTATATGAGGACCGATATTTCTGTTCGATGTGGCGGACGGTTGGGTTCCTCGAGTCGTTTACAGCTTTGATCTGTCTGGCTGGTCTGGCTTGCTTCGTGGTCATCATCCGTGGTGGCAAGTACAAACGCGAGACGGGCTGGCCGGTCCCGGCATTTATGATGACCCTGGCGGCTACCCTTCAGCTCGTGGTCATCTCTATTGTTGTATGTGGTGCATTCGCAGCTCGGGAGGGTTTATTCTTTCCGAAACGCTCGTGATATACATGTATTGACGCTTGTATTTAGGCCTACCTTTACGACCACGACGACCAGTTTTCGGTTCCTGGGTGGCACTTGGATGCGTCATGGGCAATGGCAGTATCAAGTGCCTCCATCTGTTTGCTCTCTGCCATTGGAATCTCGGCTTCTGCGTACTTGATTCCACCTGAAGGAGGCTGTAAGTTGAATTCTGATTTGCTCGGATTTGAGATCGTTCAGAAAATTAACCGTGCTTGTGAAAATAGACACATTCCTTGACGACTCCTTGAACTGATTGAGGAGAGCTTGGTATTCTCTTTCTTTGAATTTCATTCTACTACTGGTTCTGTTATACAGACATATATAGGGTCCGGCGTTTCTGGTAAATTATTTCATTTCGGCCAAAGGTAATCATAATGTGAGCGAAGCAGAATACCTAGGAAATCACTTGGGTCTCATTATAGGTTTGAAATTTCTGAAGAGAAGATGTCATGAATTCGGCTTTGGCGTGTGTAGTCCTTGTAAATGTGTGTGTAATGCGCCACTTCCCTCATGAGGATAGATGTATGAACACCCTGATTTTGTGAACACACATGGCGTACTGAGCTAGAAATGTTTCAAGATTAAGAGGTCTCGCCCCACGTATGATGTTAGTTGCTTTCTGGTACTCGCCTGGGGGTTGCTTCAATCTGTCGAGGTTACCACTCCTCTGGTCTTTGACTGAGCTGTGCGTGTGAGCTCGAACGCCTAACAAAATTACTAACTGGAAGAGAGTAGAGCCACTGGGTGCATGCATACCTGCCTAATCTATCAGTTCATGTATTTACGCCCAAACTAATTGCTGTTTAAATCAATCTAAGTCGTACGTTTCGGACTTCCCCGCGTTGTGCGACGGCTGCCCCCGCACCCGTCATTATCGCCAGCCAAGTGATAAGAGGCATGAAAGAGACATTCCCACTCACACACGCTGCGGCCTGTTTCCTAAGTGACCTTTCCCTGCAAAAGAAAAGACATCACTACACCCACTTCCTGACTGGACTGCTTCCTACAAGTCTTGCATTTCATCGCTTTAGCTTGGGTTGCACCGCTGCCAAGATGACACGTTCAATCCCCGGGCTGACCGAGGACGAGCTCGCCGCGTTCAACAGGGATGGATATCTCATTATCAATAATGCCCTACTACCCGAGACGGTCTCAGCTATGATGAAGGAGACGCAGCACCTGCTGTCCTCGTTCTCGGTTGAGGACCACCCACTCACACGTTTCAGCACAGGGACAAAGTCGGAGCATGTGGGGGATGACTACTTCTTGACGTCTGGAGATAAGATCCGCTTCTTCTTTGAGGAGGATGCCTTTGATGATGACGGGAAGCTTACCAAGCCGAAGGAGAAGGCTGTGAACAAGATCGGTATGCACACTCTTCTCCAGGAGCGGAAAGCCAAGTTGGCTAACGGGGTGAGAATAGGTCACAACCTGCACGGGCTGAGCGAGCCGTTTAAGAAGCTCCTGGATGAGCAAGGCGCAGTCTCTCGGGGTGAAGTGGCCCCTGCAGCTGTGGCGAGGGCACTGGGATACCGAGACCGTGAGTTTTAGAGCAGGATGCTGGGCTCGATGTTGAGTAAAATGGGCAAACTGACTTGATGAACAGCGAGATGCCTCCAAAGCATGGTGATATGCAAACAACCAGAGAGTAAGTCATACTCCCGATCCCCCTATTTTGCTCCCCCGGGGGGTTTGCTTGGAATGGAACTGTACCGAAGCTGATCCTGATTTTTTTCTATTTGTAAGTTGGAGGAGCAGTCCCCCCTCACCAGGACTCTACATTTCTATACACGGACACTCCCTCGGCGGTTGGGTTCTGGTACGCGCTGGAAGATGCCACGCTGGAGAACGGCTGCCTGAGCTTCCTGCCGGGTTCTCACCGCTGGGCGCCCATAGACAAGCGTCTGGTGAGGAAACCTGGCGATACCGGGACGGAAATGGTGGACAACCAGGGCCCTGTATTTCCTCGGGGCGAGGGATACGGGCTTGAGACACCAGAGGGAGGCCTGGATGGGCAGTATGTCCCTGGAGAAGTCAAGGCTGGAGACTGTAAGATACACCCTCCCCCTTTTGGTTCTGAAAATGGCTAAAGCTGACCATCAACGAAAGTGGTGCTTATCCATGGAAATTTACTTCACAAGTCTGAGAAGAAGTAAGTTTAGCTATTATCTCGCCTAGTAATTGACCAAGTTCTAACGCTTCGGCAGTACGTCGCAGAAGGGAAGAATCATCTACACTTATCACGTTATTGAGGGTGAGGGATGCCAGTATGACAAGAGAAATTGGCTCCAGCCGTCCCAAGGGGGCTTCACTAAATTGTATGCTTAACTTTAATGTAGAAGAAGAATTCGTGTTTCAGAATGATACAATCTGTGATCCTACAAAAAGACACGAGTCATTTTAGGCCAAGAGAATAGAAGCCAGCCAAAGCAAAATGACGTTGATTCCGTGGGGTATCTATTTAAAATAATCCATGTAATCTTTCATGGGTGATACAATACATCCAGCCCTATTCCCTTGCGAGACGTTACATTCTTCGTGTATGACAAACATTACATCATCCCCAGATTTAAATAACGACACAAGGTGTTTGGAAACAAAAAAGTAGACAAGTAAAGAGATAATGGAACACTTAGTCCTCCTCATCGCTCTCCTCCTCTGATTCTGAATCCGAATCGCCTTCTGACGATGAAGAAGAGGAACTGCTGGATGTCTCATCCTCATCCGGCCGTTCTTCCTCGTCGCTATCCGAATCCTCTGACGAGCTGCTGCTACTACTTTCAGAGTCACTCTCGGATTCAGACTCGGAGCTGGTGTCATCCACATTGACACGAAGCTTCCGCCGTCTTCGTGTAGCGGCGCCATTGATTGTTATTTGCTTATCTTCGTTGGTGGTAACAGTGTTGCTGTTGTCGCCTGCTGTTACGGTCTTGGAAGAAGTGCTGGTGTCTGTGGTTGTTGATTCTTCGCTGTCTGACAGCGCATCAAGCACAAGCTCTGCTCGCATGCGCTTCACTAGACGGCATACAATGACCTCGCCATCCTCGCTCTCCGAGACATATTGCGACTCGCTGAAGAACTTGCGCTTGCCAGCATTGCGCCGACGTAGAATTCCTGCGAGGATAGAGTCGTAGGCTGCTTGCTTTTCGTCTTCATCTGTGGTCCCCTCGGGGAAAGATGCGTATCCATCTGATTCGTCCCGAGTCTTAACCTCCATGGCGGTCTCCCGCAGGCGGGTTCTGACGTAACCCTTCAGGTCCTTAATGTACTCGTAAAAGGCCTCGACGTCGGAAGATGGAATTGAGTCTGGACCGTCGAAAATGTGTTTGATGAGAGAGGATTGGTGGTTTTTATTAAACTTCCAGCTCTCCCTGGATGTCTTCCACAGTCGCAGGTACTCGAGGGCGGGTTTGAGATCGTGCGCCGGCTGGGCCTGCTTCGCGGGGCTCTTCTTTTTAGGCTTGGCCTCTTTTTTGGCGGGCGTCTTCCTGATGTCGCTGTTGCCGGGAACAACCGTCTTTGTCGGAGTATCATCGAATGTGACTTTCTTTGGTTTTGGCGACTCATCCCTTCGTGGCCTTTTATTACCATGGATAGGGTTAAGATGCGATGCAGGCGGGGCAAGCTTTCTCTTGGGGCTCGGCTGGGCCAGGCTGCTGCTTGGATGCCCAACGGCTCCAATGCTAGAGAGCCCATTGGGACTCTCCGTCCCGGCGGCTGCGGGCTGCTTGAGCTTCAGGCCCAATCGCTTCCAGGCAGGGACTTTTTGCGTTTCGGCGGCCGACATGTTGACTTTCTGGGTGTGGGAAACAGAATCTTCACTCTCTGTGGGTGTGTTGCGCGCGTGTGACGGATGCGTCCTGGGACATCAACTTTTTTTCTTGCCTTCCAGGGACCCTTCTCTGTCGCTCGGGTGCCACAGACTAGGCGCAAAATGTACGGCTTCCCGTCCTTTTTGGACGTACTGAGGGCGGTGAGAGAAGAAATCGACCTATGGCTTAACCAGATTGGGTAGAAAGAGTATGCAGGCTAACGGGTACTGAGTGTGAAGTTGGTGGGACAAGATATGTGGTCCAAGTTGTCGCTTTTTTTCTGCCAGCGTTGACGGGCAACCGTCCATTGGAGTTGCGCCCAGCCAATGAGCAGTTGTCTCTCTCATGACTAAGCAGAGCTCTCGTGGCCTCATGCCTGGTCCGTGGAATTTGGATTTCCAGAATCTAAAATAAGAAAACGTCGAGAATTAAACTGTATAATAGAGCATGCGCATACAGGTATTGTTTAAAGCTCTTACTTCTGCCCATTGCTCAGTTGGCTGTGGTGCATGCTAAATGTTTAGCATGAAGAGACCCCTCACTGAAGGCAATTGATGAGGGAAGATTTCCACGTTAGTGAATGGGGAGTGGAATATATAATCGACATGAAAAATGAAAAACCTTGCCATAAAAAAGCTTGAAAAAGATTCTTTTTAGTATTCAGATAGTTGTTCTGTAAAGCAGCACAACGGCAAGGCAACTTCATCAGGGCACTTCGCTTGGTGGGACAATTACCCGTAGTTCACCCGTCAAGGCAGCTCTAGCACGCGTAGACGTCAATACCTATCAGGTAGCTTCGAGCTCCCGCACTGCACCAACGATATCAATCGTCAAGCTACAAACACATCCCCGACAAGTCGCCTTTGGATTCTCTCAGTATAAGGAAACATAGTCACAGGATCCTGTGATTTTTGTTCACAATGTCGGGTACGCACAGCTTTGGACTTACCTACCCCTCCCCGAGCTTGCTTGGCCATCCCACCGCAAGGTCCTTGCTAACTGTATCGAAACCGCAGCCAGCGCATACGACCGTCACATTACCATCTTTGCCGACAATGGCCGCCTGTACCAAGTCGGTAGGTTGATTGCCGACTTCCAAACGACCAGATCGGGGAGCTTCTGAGCCGATTTCATGAGGACTGTGCTGATAAGCGGAACTAGAGTACGCCTTTAAGGCCATCACAGCTGCCAACATCATGTCTGTAGGCATCCGAGGCAAGGACTGTGCCGTTGTCCTCTCACAGAAGAAGGTTCCCGTACGTTTGTTCCTCTGCCCAGGGCGGTCATCAGCATGAAGGGTTTCTCAAGAAGGCTCACTCGAGGAAATGAACAGGACAAGCTCATCGACCCTTCTTCCGTCTCCCACATTTTCCAGATCTCCCCCTCGGTCGGCTGCGTCATCACTGGCTCCATCGCCGATGCCCGAGTCTTCGCACAAAGAGCCCAGTCAGAAGCTGCAGAGTTCCGATACAAGTTCGGGTACGAGATGCCAGCTGATGTCTTGGCCAAGCGCCTGGCCAACATCAGCCAGGTCTACACCCAACGGGTAAGGGGTCCTTCCAACTGCCGGCTGAGATGATTGATTGGGGAAATACTCGGACGCTGATCTGAATACAGGCTTACATGAGACCATACGGTGTCGCCACCACGCTGATTTCCCTCGACTCTGAGCTTGGACCTCAGCTGTTCAAGTGCGACCCGGCTGGATACTTCATTGGATACAAGGGCACCGCGGCCGGTCCTAAGCAGCAGGAGGCTCTGAATCACTTGGAAAAGAAACTCCGAAACAAGGACCATGCTGAGGGTGACTGGGAGGAGGTTGTCGAGCTGGCAATCACTACCCTCAGCACGGTTCTGAGCATGGACTTCAAGAAGGGCGAGATTGAGATTGGCATTGTGGGTGGTCCCCGGGCTGACGGAAAGGAGGGAACTGAACCAGGATTCCGCAAATTGACCGAGGAGGAGATCGACGAGAGATTACAAGCGATCGCAGAGAAGGATTAAACAGAGCGGCCGCTTGATACTGGCGAATGAATGGTAATTGACTTGATGATATTCATGGATGAACCCTGAAGTATACGCACGTACATATTCGCGGGGGGGCAAACACACTCTCACACAGGCACCATAACTATAGACACTCCATCCATCTAGACACACTCTCTTACCCTTGTTGAGAGACAAAGAGGGCTTGTGCGACCAAATTGCCAGCTGGACGTGGGCGTGAATGGCCGTGGGCTTCCCGCTCCCGTGTCTTATCTTATTACAAATCAGACAACCAATACCAATTATTGTAATGCATGGGCTTTGGAGATCTCCGATGCACATGGCACGATACCCAATCAACCCACAGGGCCCGGTAAAGCCACAATGCTGGTGACGAGGCAGGCTCCACGGTCGGGATTGACAGGTCCCCTAGTCCAGGGAAAGGGTTTGTTGAGCCTGGCAGATGGATGTGGTCCAAGGTGGGTCGCATACATGTATATGCACCTTACCTGGGAGATCCAATGCCACGAGGGCGCTGAGATGGCCCTGTAATCAGCTGGGTTTGCGGCTGACACAGACCAGGCAGCCTTCTTAAAGTTATGTTGTGATGATGTCGATGAACCATGATGCGAGACCCTGGTAAACCGTGGCTCCCGAATGCTACAGTGGCATGGTATCAGCCGGCCCAGTGTCGCCTGGAGGTCTCCGCTAAATGCAACGCTGAGAAGTACAGCGGCGCAGTCAGAAAAAGTAATTCGGGCGATCGATATCGTCAATCTTGGGTTCCCAATGGGGAATCCGACATGACTGATGACCGCTGCGAATGGGGTTTGGGTCCAATCAAGTCAGGGGGGGATGAGAGATCTCAGCCGAATCCGTAACGACATGCCCAATCTAGTCTGTCTTGGGGATTGGTTCCTCTCCAACCGGGGAGGCCCCCTTGAAGTGTAACATTGGGTTGCTCTGGTTGAAATCGAAGATCAACCCAGGCCCGACCAACCGACCCATACTCTAAATTTTCTTTTTCCATACCATTGTCCCCTTGATGGCAGTAATATCAAATATAGAGTCTGGTGGGACACTCGTGGGAAACCATTGACGTACGCAAATGGGGGAACGGGGAAGGGAAATAACGTAGAAGTGATACGACGTCCGTTTCTTTTGATGGGAGGCCAATCCGCGTGCCTGGATAGCTAGCGTAGAATCAAGCACAAGGTGATTAATATGGAGACATGTCTCTGCAGGCACCGGTGTTTCCAGTGGCTTTTCCACGATGTTGATGTGCGTCAAGCGGGGGCACCGCCTTGGTATGGTTTGTATTGAGGCAGGCAGTTATTGGGCTGAAAAGCAGGTGTGGGTTGCAACTATGACACTGTGGCTACGGCGTCGGCCGAGAGAGAGAGTGAGTGACGACGCAGGGGGGAGTGGGTTGACTACTAGCCGGTCGAGTGGGCATTCTGAATCTGTTGAGAGGCTTTGAGAGGGCTTGCGAGGGCTTGAGAGGCCTGCCGGGGTGGAGATGGCGTCGAAGAAGATCACATCATGCTGTGCCAAATCCCCTTCAGACAGACCCTCCTCCAGGCGCCCACTGCACTAATACCTACACATGGACAGATAGTCGTTAGCGAAGGAGCCGGGCCCAGTGTGCAATAAACTCCGGGTGGTGCGGTGTCGATGCGGGCCCGCCTCAATAAAAGCCGTTCGTTTGACACGCAGCCAATGGCATGGGCAAGACGCTCTGGAGGACGAATCGATTCAGCTGTGCTGCCCGTTTTGATCTGGATGGGGCCGTGGGCTGCTGGCCAGCTCATTGGCCCCGATGGGACGGTCCTTGCATGGCAAAGATGGCGCTAAGATCCACACATTGCCCTACTGGGTAAAAGACAGCCGGCCTCGAAATAGCTGAACGGCAGCCTCCCCAGCCTCACATGTGTGGCCCGGAGAATGAGCGTTTGCTTGACTTTTCTGCTGCCCGCTCCCTCTCGTCCTGATGGGCTGCGTTTTGTCTAGCGGCCGGTGGATGACGGTAGGGCTTGTGGCCTAGTAGGGCTGGTGGCGAGTTTTGGTTGGACAGCCTGCTAGACCATAGACAGCTGGAATGAACGGTGGGCATGGCATGGCGTTTGTGGTGGTTTTTCCCCGTCCCCCCTTCCTGCCCTCCTTCGGAGCTTGCTGCAGCAGAGGCAGGTACGCCCAGCGCGGGACTATTGGGGCAGGGCCAGTGTAACCTGATCATCCTTTCCAGACTACTGGACACCTCAGTGATAGTCGCAGGTGTGAGCAGCCCCCTCCCAGCCTATCGCATGGATGTGGATGTACCTGCGTAAGGCATTGCTAGATGTATGTTAGGTTAGGGCTTAATGTCCGACGCAGTGAATTCAAATGGTCAAACGTCTAGAAAGATGCCTGTCCCCACCCTCATCACCCCCGGGGGGCTTTGCTTGGCAGGCCTTTCTGTGTGTAACTGGTTGCAGCACACCGGCAGTAGTGGTAAGTATACGGGAAGGAGCCACTACACGACCTTATTCCAGGTGGAGACGACGATAGAGGCTCTCGTTGGTTCCTGCCTTTGACCCCGAGGCAGCTGATGTTCCGGGTCGCTCGCCGTATAAGGAGTCAGCATTGCATTTCACGCTGAAATGCCCCCGGGACGTCTTCATAGACATCCGCAGCAAGGTGGATGACGAAGAGCAGTAGTTGTGATCTTGGGCCCGGGATCGCTTGTCTCTGCTGGCTCCTTGCTGGAAAGGCACCGAAGGGCCAGAACCACAAGATGCGACCCCCCTCCCCTTACATGAGATGAAGGCAGGAGATTGTCGTGATGTACAAAAGGATGCTCTTGGAATCTCCAATTGCCCATTGCTTTGCTTTGACGGGCATCACCACACTCACCATCATCCACGACTGCTGGCATCGACGACCGCTATCTATTACCACATCCACCACATCAACGGCCTACTTGACCTGCTTTAGGCACCTTTTCAGTCACCTTCTCCCCTCTTCCACCGTCCAATCCTGATCAATCCAGACGTCTCACTCTATCAACCAACTCCATCATCTCTTCTTGCCTTTACACGCAATTTTTTCCTACTGGTTTTGAATACCACCAGCCCTTTCTCTCACCCATTGACTCAAAGTTCTTAACAATGGACGGTTGTAAGTCCTATCTCTCCACAAGTGGCAAGCGGCGAACCCTCTCGGCAGTTCATCTTGCAAGCCCCTCCCAAAGTGCCCACACCGAAAGTGCCGTGACTGATTGCAGCCTCCTTATTCTCCTTTAAAGTGAACGAATACCGCACGGCAAGAGTTGCAGAGATCCTGGACGATTTCCGAACCCTTCAATATTACATTGCTGCAGCACCGACATCACCGATCAACTCCGAAGACCACTACACTGAAGGTTGGGCAGCGCTCAGGCAGTGCGCCATCGACGGTCAGCACATCCTCGAATGCGCCGCAGACACGAGCGTCCCCAATGCCTCCGGCGGCGAGGAGGAGCAAAGGAGAGCCGAACTCAAGCAGTACGCTATTTCCCACCCGCACTTGGCTATTTTTTCCTTCCGCAGGACAGCGAAAATCCGGTGCAAACGTTGTCAATCTCGAGATGACCAACTGACTGAAACCCTTTCTTGGCTGCAGGGTTTACCTCGATGCTTATGCTAGGCGCCACGAGGGGCAGAAGATCTACCTCCGGCAGGCGGCAGCGCAGAGATGGATAGAACGACGAGACTACATTCTGCAGGGAGGACGACCAGGGTCCAAAAACCGCAAACACCTCCAGGCTTGCGATAACCAGTTCCGACAAGTAAGTGCAAAATGACCACTGTGTCTAGTGCCCCAAACCCCCTTCGAAAAGGAGAAAATTTTGTGTGAGAGAGGGGACGTTAGAAGGGTAGAACGGAATTCAGGGAAGCGTGGATGAAGTTGTCTAACGTTTGCGGGGATTAGGAACTTGCGAGCATCACAGACGAAGCTGTTTACTCGGACTTGCAGGCTTCTGACATGGGCCTCGGTCGCTGGACGGCAGAGGACCCAAGCTTGAGAGCTGTCCTGCGCTGGCTGCGCGCCCGACGATAAGGGTCTGGACAAAAACAAGAAGGGACTCCTTCTTGCACCACTCCTCAGGGAACTTGGTGACTTGTAACAACAATTCTGTTTTCGGTTTCTTATGAACGACGACATTCAAGCCAACGAGCATGCGACTACGACCTTCGAGGACATGGATTCTGGGATAGTGAAGTTGGGCAACAGTCGACATTCATTCTTGTTTTGGTTGGTGATTTTAGGGTTGTTTGCATGTAAGGGAGCATGGGAATCATATGCACGTCTGATCAATTTCTTCTCTCTTTCGCTGGAGAGCAGGCTCTTATCCTTGCGCTAGAGAGTAGAAAGAGACGGAAAGGAAGCGACGGAGAATTCTGGGTTCTTTTTTGTTTTGTTTTGGAAAAAGTATTCATAGACGGCTTGTTTTGGGATGATATGTTTTGGCCTGCCATAGATACCTATTTCTTTCCTTTTCATTTCGGGGTTTCCTACTTGGCCTGGGCGGGTTCTTTGGGCCGGAAGGAATTCATCTCTGGTTGTTAGCAAGCAAATGAATTGACATGATAATTTTGGATTGGGTCAACGAAGCTCAGACAGAAATGCATTTATGAACAGACTCTATAGCTGGCATATACTTTGGGTACAACGCTGAAAAAAAATACATAACGATTGGTCATGAAAGGGATATGTGTGAGGTTGACCCATAGACAGTTTAGTTTAGATTGATAGTACGCCCCGGTTTCCATCAAATCACCGCTTGCTCTGAACACACAGGCCAATTCCAGTAAGAGAAAGAACCATGCCAATTGCGATTTCTGTATACTATCAGTTTACGTGTCCCCGATTTCTGTTTCGGATACCGGGGGGGGGGAGTTCCCGTGAACTGACCTTTGCTAATCACCTTGCCCTCTACAAGCCACTCGCCGATGACGGTGAAGAGGAATGCCAGAGTATTGACGATGGGGACGGTCAAGCTCAGCTCTACAACCCCAGGACGCATGTAAGTAAGCTCCCCGATGTTACGATACTAGCCATGTGGCAAAGAGTCCTGCAAGAAGGAGGAAGGGGGGGGTTGAAACAACATACCGGCTTGACCAATGAGGAGGAAGAACCAGACGCTGCCGGTGACGTTGAGCAGCAGCGGGGTGGCATATCTGGGGTTACGCAGGAGGTCGAGGACGCCGAAGAAGGCGCCGTAGAGCCTGGACCTGAGCCAGCTGGCCTTGACGGCTGGGGAGTCGAGGATCGGGTGCGGCGGGGGCTTGTGCGTGCGGGCAGCCCGGCGGATGAAGGGCGTCGTGAAACCCCAGCACAGGCCGACAAGGATGAAGCTCAGGACGTAGTTGAAGGTGGGGGGTGAGCTGTTCCCGCTGTCGTCGGCCATGGTGAAGAGAGAAAGAATGTGAGATGTAATTGATTGGACAGGGATGAGTTCAGGTGTGTGTCTGTGTGAAGCCTTCCCGTAGCTCTGGGTATACCGATAGGAGAGAGATAGGTATGGGGAAGAGCAAGGGGATCGGGCGCTAGGAGCCGCAAAGGAGCCGGGATAAAGGCGGAGGGAACCTGGTGCGGACGTCTGCCAATCGGATCTGAAAGACGAAGGATGGTGAGGATGGGGAGGGGATGCGGCCTTGTTGGCGGCTGATGAGGCTGAATCGATATATCGAGGTAGAGGCCTTGGATGGGTGGCGAGTGGTGAGACGGGGCAAGGTTGATGGGCCGTTAGAGGCGCATGTAATCAATGAATTAGTGGGGTTGGGACAAGGTTAAGGACCGTTAGGCGCTGTAGCAAGTTGATGTGGTTAGGGGGTCTTCCCGCTAAGAAATCAGCTACGGTGGCTTTGCGCCGACTCTTCAGCGGTCCCCCCTTGATCAGCTGGACCGGTCCGTCCAACATCAGCCGGAGCCCACTTCAGCGCTCAAACCACCGGCTCTACTTCTTCTTCTACTTGGTCTCGTTGCCGTCGTCATCTCATCTGTGACGATCTGTAAGAAGATATTGGGATGAATAAGGTTATTCACCGCCTGTTTGTCCACCGCTTAATTCTGAGAGAACAGTCCCTGCTCTGCGCCCATGGTGTGTGATATCAACTTCATTGAGCCGCATTACCCCCGCCCGAGGTTGTGAAATTGTACGCTGATATGGTTTGCGTACTCCATGGCGTGTCTTCCGAGAAATGTGAAATACGATTGATCATATGCCTCAGCGATTCTGCCTGTTCCTGAAGCCCGGTTCATGGATCTATCACCTATCCTGGAAACCGGTCGTCGATGACGCAAAGCTTTCACTGGCATCACAGGAGCGGAATATCTGTCTTATTTCAGTTTTTCCTTGATCAAGCATGTACTGTTGATTCAACTCTGCGGCTAGCAGAATGCGGCAGGATTGTGCGGCCGCATTATCATTTCAGTCCAAATACCCATAGCTGCCGTAGCTACCCATGCGAAAAAGGATGACCTGGACAAGAGTTACACTCTGGGTGGGTAATTTCTGGTATAAAAGAGTTCACGCTGAAAAATTGAGCACGCAAGAAGAGTACTGCGAATCACAGAATTGACAGTCTACTATGAGATTGAAGGGAAAATGGTGATGCCCACACTTGCCTGCCGCCTTGTGAGATCTACGGATGCTTGCAACCAACAGCATCTGAGAAGTGACTAACATGCCTTGGCACGTTGCTTTCATTTTCGGCCCAAGTTGCTCACAGTATGTGAATCCTTGCTCTCTCTAATGTTTTTTGTTAAATCTTGCGCAGAGAGGATAAATACAGTTCATTCTGGGGTCAATATCAGACCCTCGGCGACCACCTCTATCCCAGTGGACAATGGCCAATAGCCATTATGCAACGCTTATGGATTTCTCAAAGTATGCGCCTGGCCAACAACTTGAAATGACGATGTGGTCTCAATGGAGAGACAGAGCCTTCTTCACTCAAAGGATTGCATGAGTGTGATATCGCGCCGCTTGGATCTGTGAATCGTCACTGGTGTGTTGATGAAACATACGTTAGGCCAGGAAAGAAATCCCTTGCTGTCAAGTGAATTCAATTGATTAGACTTCGCACCACGTGCGACAGACTGTCCGGGTTCCGATTAATCACCGCTGAGCGTTGATGGAAGCCGCGCAAGGCTGATACCCCAGAGGCGGCGCAATGCGACTCCCCGGGATTTTTTTTCAAGTCATATGAACATGCTCTTTCGGCAAGACGAATTACGACGGACCATGGTTCAATCAATCACAGGGCCCGCATTCTTTGCCAGTTACTTACGAGTTGGTTTGGAATGGTTCGACCAACCGCCGACGACGGCGTTAATCAGATCCCCGCCGGGAGTGGCATTATGCCTCGTGACGGTCCAGGTGGGCTGAAGCAAAGGGCCAACAAAGAGCGCCTTGCTGTGCTGTGTACGGCAGCCAGCTAGCAACATTAGCATGAAAGGGGGATATGGAAACATCCAGAAATAAAAGAGTAAACAAGTAAGCAGGTAATAAAAGTTGGCATAAGACAAGTAAGAGTCATAGGCCTGAGGATCACGGACAGTTCATGCACTTGGAACCAGCAGGGGAGGGTGCGAGGGTTGAAGGACAAGGCGCTCAAGCCGTTCTAAACCTTCGGGCATCAATGGGAGATTTCTACCCCACGCACGTACCTGGCCGCTTAGCTATTGCACGCTACTAGTGCCTAGCAGTGCATATCACCCTCAGCTCGAGATCCAATGGAATGGAAGGCGGATGGAGTGATTGTGTGTATGTGCGACAAGTGGTGTTGGAGAAGTCAATTCTCCAACAGGCTTAGCTGGTTGTGGTAGGCCTTGTTGTCAGTGAAACCCCGTTGCTGCCCCTTCCATGATTTCGGGCCGGGAATCGACTGAATTGCTGGGATAGAAAGCCCCATGAATTGATGCCCATTGGGCATGTTCTCCAGACAAGAATGAGTCAATGGCCAGTACCTGGCTTGTGACCTCATTTCTGGAAGATACCTGCCGCATGCCCTTGCGGGCTCATCAACAGTTATAGTGGTACTTGCTCTCTGGCTTGTGACTTGGTGCTCGGACAGGTACTCCCCTAGTGGAAACTGGCAGTGGTCTGCGCTCACCTGGTCACTCCACTAGTGGGGTTCCCATGCACGCTGCTCCCAGAGGTACTGTGGCAGCCTACGCCAAACCTTCCCCTCTCCTCCCGCCCCAGCTAAGCATCTCGCCAGGCACTTCACAGACGATAAACCACTTGACATATCCATTCCATAGTCACCGCCTGCCCTGCATCTACTGCACAGGCACGGACCTTCTGGGCGTAGTTCTTTGGACCCACCTGCGTTCCTCTTATTTTTTTTCTCCCTACCACCCTCCCAGCTCCCCATTTACCACTTCGCTTGGTGGGACTATAAACTAACCTCGCCTCGGCCTCTTTCTCACTCAAGCGACCCTGCTCCTGCTTCGCCTACCAGCTCCCGATCGACCGACCGTTTATCCTAGCGACCGTTACAATCGCCAAAATGAACCCTCACCAGAAGAACAAGGTCGATGTCAAGGTAATATCCTTAATATGCTCTTCTTTCCCATATCCGGAGGGCGATTGTTACCGTCCTACCCCACTCTCCTCTCAACATTCCCTCGAGCAAATTCGACCACCATGATGTGACTCGAGCTTGCTGGCTTGCTAGTACTCGGGAGCGATACTCTCACACTCATCTCTGTTCAGGATTATAGCTCATGTTAGATATGTGGCAGTGTGCTAACATGACTTTCTCAGAACCTCTCTCCCGAGGAGCAACGACTATTCCGCCTCTATGGCAAGCTCCCCTCCCGCTCCGACCACTTCGCCAAGCATCTCAAAGACCGCAAATACTTCGATTCCGGTGACTATGCCATGTCCAAGGCCGGAAAGGGCGATGGTGTAGATGCTGGTGCCGTCGGCTCCCAGCACCCGGTTCCCGAGAACATCCCCCACCTCTCTTCCCCCATCAACAACTCCAACACTTCAACTACTATCGCCAACGGAGCCAGTGCCAACGGAGGCTCTATCCCCAAGCATGCCCACCATGGCTCCATCCCCGGTATCCAGGCTGGTAGCCCTATCAAGGAGAGCAGCTTCCTTAACCACCAGACCAACGCCGACGAGGCCGACGAAACCAATCAAAACGAGGAGAAGCCAAAACCAGCCGAGAGCGGCATTCCTATCCGGGGATAGGTAGTGGCGGACAATGTCACTAGTTTTTGCTCTTTTCGCTTCTTCTACTTTTCATTTGTTTAATCTACCGATTGGTTCCTCCTATCGATAACCAGAATGGCGGGGTAAAGCGCTTGTACGAAAGGTTGATTTCAAGGTAACGAGGGAGTTGGGAATGTTCAAAGACAAAAACCTAACTTTACTCTTCTGTTTTCTTTTGTCGGATCTACTTTGAGGGCTGTCTATGCTGGCGTTTATGGAACAAACAATGGGACACGTCCTCGCTTTACTCGTTTTCCTATACTATCTCCAACGACTGATTCGAGGGTCGTCCGGGTGCTATCAAAGGGCCAGATTGAACCACGCGGTGGATGGCTTCATCTCTGGGATACCAAAATGAAGAACGGAGATGGCAACAAGGTATGATTTATGCAAATCGCATGTTTGAGGATTTTTGCGTCGGATGCTTTGCGAGTGCCAATAGTCTGAATCAATGGCACATGATGTACTGCGTATTATCTTTGCTACCATAGCTCAATCGAACAGTTTTCTTTGTGCTTCTCCTCGTAGCTCTGTAGCGTATAGGAAAGTCAAGTTACAGATCCCTCACTGGGGTGTCCAAGAGGCGTATAAAATTCCATTAAGTAGTCATCAACAAACCGTTGTACATTTGGGTTTTGGCATAATTGCAAGAGCAAGTAGGTGATATGAAAAGTATTGAATCTATTGCCAATATTATTCTTTAGTTCAACAAATTAGAGCAGCAATGAATTTAAACATAACTACACAGAATATAGCCAACCCATTCCTGTCAGCAACAATAAGTATAGATTATATGAGCTCGTCGATACACAACCCGATAACCACCAATGAGGCGACAGTGATCCGAAGACTGAGCAATGGGATTTAGAGAATACCTAGTAGGTATAAAGTATCAAGCTGGAATAGATAACCGTGTGGGCTGTTCTATGTAAGAGCAGGCTCACTGTGCGGAGGTGAGAGGGGCATGTGTGTAGGTCAAAAATAGTAGATTTTAACCAAAAAAGAGTTCAAGTCGAATAATTAAAACTGTAGGCTAATTTCAGTACTATTATTCATGTGATACGAAGCTTTCTGCTTGATATATGGAAATATTTTGGCTGGTGTTTGGAATTGAGGCGAGATAAATCCGCCCCTCTTGATTGGCCCGATATTTTTTCCACTTCGACAAGCTGCAGACAAACCAAATCTTTAGCTACCTGCTTGGTAACTCTCTTGCAACACCTCAGGCCAAACCGATCGATCGATGCTCAGACGGATACTCGCAACGATGACAGAATCCGCAGCAAAGAGAATCAAGACGTCGGGCGCGCCCCTCATCGGCACCCACAGCGGCCACTTCCACGCCGATGAGGCCCTCGCCGTCCACATGCTGCGCATGCTCCCAACCTACAAGGACGCCTCTCTGGTCCGCACCCGCGACCCCAAGATCCTCGAGACCTGCCACACCGTCGTCGACGTAGGCGGCGAGTACGACGCTGCCCGCAACCGCTTCGATCACCACCAGCGCGGCTTCACCACCACCTTCCCCGGCAAGGCCACCAAGCTCTCCAGCGCCGGCCTCGTCTTCCTGCACTTTGGCCGCTCCATCATCGCCCAGAAGCTCGGCGTCCCCGCCCACCAGGAAGCCTCCCACGCCGAGGTCGGCCTCCTCCACAACAAGCTCTACGATAGCTTCGTCGAGGCCCTCGACGCCCACGACAACGGCATCTCCGTCTACGACCCGGCCGCCATCTCCGCCGCGGGCATCGACAAGCGCTACTCCGAGGGGGGGTTCACCCTCGGCGCCATGGTCGGCCGCTTCAACCCCAACTGGAACGACCCTGCCCCCTCGGACCCCGCCGAGGCCCAGGCCGCCGAGGACGAGCGCTTCCTCGCCGCCAGCGCCCGCATCGGCGAGGAGTTTGAGCGCGACCTCGACTACTACTCCCGCGCCTGGCTGCCCGCCCGCGCCGTCGTCCAGAAGGCCTTTGACTCGCGTACCGAGCACGACCCGGAGGGCCGCATCCTCGTCTTCCAGGGCACGTCGTGCCCCTGGAAGGACCACCTGTACACCCTCGAGGGGGGGAAGCCCTCGGTGCTCTACGTTCTGTACCCGGAGGGCGCGGCCGCGGACTCCAAGTGGAGGATCCAGTGCGTGCCCGAGAGCAAGGACTCGTTCGTCAGCCGCAAGCCCCTGCCCGAGGCGTGGCGCGGGTTCCGCGACCAGGACCTCGACGGGATCACGTCCGTCCCCGGCGGTGTGTTCGTCCACGCTGCCGGCTTCATTGGCGGGAACAAGACGTTTGAGGGTGCCAAGGCCATGGCTGAGAAGGCGCTGCTGGCATAATGGAAACGAGACGTTGAAAAGAAGTATGAAAATATGGACATGCAGTTATGACACATTGAGAAGGCAATGGTATGGTAGTCTAGGTTTTCATGATTTGGTTCCAATGGGCGCCCATTGAGGGGATCAGGTGCTATCAACCTAATGACAAAGGGAAAAGACGAAGGAAAAAGGATTTATAGAGCCTCAAATCACAACAACGGCATAAACAAAAATTTAAATCTCATTGACGACTGGTTTGGTTATTGTAAGACTGCAATACGAGGTGTGTGAGTTTGTCAGGCAGTAGTATCCTGCTTCTTTTCAGGGCATGGTGATGGCAAAGTACTCATTTTGAGGTCATCCATTATTAACTACTAGTCTTGTGATCAAATCCTATCTTACTTCCGCGATGCCGCATCCTTGGGCGGTTCTGACAAGCCTTCAACAGCCTGGCGTCCGACATTGCTCAGATCCTGCGCGTCCTTGGAGGCAGGCTCCCGCAGACCAGCGTTGCTGTCGTCGCCGGTGCTGAGATTGGCATCGATGCGGCCAGATCCAACGTTGACGGTGCGGGCATCGGCGGATTGCCAGTCGGATGCGGTTGCAGGCTGCTCGGGGAGTGGGAGGTTGGCCTGAGTCTCCGCAATCTTCTGCTCCTTGGACTGGGGCATCTTGGGTTTGCCTGCGTGATTTCATATTAGAAGATGGACATGATGCATTAAATGGCTGACTCTTTAAAATCCATTCGAGTGCTGTTAATTTGCACTTGCCTTGGTTGGATTGGTGGACTTTTTAGGGCGGCTAACAGGACCTTAAGACTTTTCTTAATGTCTTTATCGAGATTCGAGATTCGCGAATATTATAGGAATGAGTAGACAAATTTCTTTTCATCGAGGTGATCCAAGGCTTCTATTATACTTATTGACCAAATTCCAGATGGTTCCTGGGCACACGATCATGATGATCATTGACGTCAGACCTGCGTCGAAATGAACAACTGGAACTCACCGTGGGAACTCTGGGTCCAGGAGCTAAAGTTCCGACTCTGCTCCACGGAATCACCATTCTATTACTCACTGGAGGGGTTCCCTGAAAGTCACAACATGTAAATTTTCAGAATATGCTTCTATGGTCTTCCCCCCCCTTGTCATTGTACCTGCCAGACCGCAAATGAGGAATCGAACAGCCGGGTATCAATTCATATGACATTCTGCTTTTTACATATATAAATAAGATGCTACCCCTGAACGCCTATCCTAGATCGAGGCTGATCTTTCCCAAGCCTCCACAGAATCAAATGCACGCGCCCACAATTCATAGCTATTCGTCCATTTTGACATCATGAGAACAAGCAGGTACTCTGCTCAGCCCACTCGTCTATCTGTCTCCGCCGAGGTAGCCTTGTCTCCCGTGTCAGGGTTCAGATAGTCGGCGTCCTCAGCAGCTTCATACTCAGCAATCAGATCCATAACCACCTGCCTCGCTTCGTCGAACTGATCGAGATTCTCTGAGAAAGGTGCCGTCTTCTTGTATCCTTCTATGAATGCGTTTCGCTTCCGCATGCCGTCGTATTGTTTCACAATACGCTTGAATAACTAGTAATCGACGTGTTAGTCTACTAAACCACGCCGCGACGGCGAGAAATGGATAGAACAAACCGTAGCTATGCTCGTGTGATTGGCCAACATGAGACCGCTCACACGATGGCTCATGGGGATGTACGGGCTCCGCTTTGTCAGGGCAACCTGTATGCTCGCTGGGCCCCATGGGATGAATGTGGCCAGCCGTCGCTCGCGGATGCGCAGTAGACTCTTGTGCACGTCCGTCGGGTCCACCTCGCCCTGGATGACGTTGAGGATCGAGATGTAGCAGCTCTTCTTGCCAGGTATGGTGGAGACCATGCGGTTCTTGGGTTGCAAGAGACGACGCATAACATCCAGAACAGTCGTCTTGCGCACCGTCTTGGCCTGTTCAACCTGGTCTCCCGTGAAGGGGGTGTAGGCCGTCATGAGGAAGTGGCATCTTGGGGTAGGGATCAAAGAAGCGAGAATGCTGACGAGATCATTGTGCATGTATCCAGGATATCGCAGAGTTGTGGTGCTTGCAGACATTACAGTGGCAACCTAAGTCAATCAGTAATGAGCTACTTCCGCCATGATAAGGCAAAAAAATTATCCAACTTACCAATTGGTTTGTCTGTTGCCAAGAAGGCTCCTGGACGTGGAGCCTGTCTGCTGCAATGTGGGACAGAGCTGCATTATCCAAAACCACAACAGAGTCGGCATTTTGTGTCAACCTCCTCATAGATAGGATGCTGTTGTAAGGGTGCACAACAACATCGCCGGCGTTGGTAGTGTCTGGAAAGACAGAGTAGGTTTGGATGATTTTCTTCGGGAACCTGTCATTCAACCTCTCGAGGAGAAAAGACCCGAGTCCGGAACCAGTACCTCCAGCAATGGAGTGTAGCATCATAAATCCCTGGAACACCCGTCGTTAGGCGACAATCAAACATCAAAGGCGACGCAGGGCAAGGACCTACCTCGAGAGAGTCACTGCCGTCGGCCTCGCGATCAATCATCTCCATGATGTCCTCACAGACCGATTCTCCGGTTTGGTAACCGTCTCCCCAGTTGTTGGCGGCTCCCATTCCATCCTTCCCGACGTAGAAGTTTTCTGGGTTGTAGATGTTTTTGTAGGGGCCTGTTTGAATGCTGTTGAGGACCTATATTCCAATCACATGTTTAGGCGTCGCTTTCGACGAAAAGATCTACCACGGGCAGCTTACCCTTGGCTCTAGGTCGACCAGAATCGCTCGCGGAATGTACCGAGTATCGTCGCTCTGATAGTAGAATACATCTTTTCGGTCTCCGCCCTCGGTCGCAAAGTCCTCGAGATTTCCGTCCTGGCTGATTCCGTGCTCTTGGCAAAGCTGTTGCCAGAACTGGCTGCCAACTAGTCGCCTGTCAGTGATTTGGATCGCTACCATAAATTCCGCGAGGTAGATTGGATTGCGACTGCGGGGCGTCGCTCGAGGGAGGATAGTCGTCAATGCTGTAGGGAGAAGACGGAAGGGGTACTAACTGCTGTTGCCGCACTGCCCAGCCTGGATTGTAATTATCTCCCTGGACGAAATTGTTAGCAGACCGCTTATTCAGGTTTTCTACACATATTCCGAAGCATACCGAGGCATTCTGGTTGGGATGGTATCATTTCAAGTTGATGTAAATTTGTGTTGTTCTTGGAGGTGTGGTCGAGGAAGGAGCTATACGGCCGATAAGAGCAACGCGACGCGTGAGATAATGCTAAACCCCACTAATAAATCACCCCGCGTTAAGAGCCTCCACCACTCAGCGAAACATATACTGTTGTTACACATAGCAACAAGCATTGAGAGAGTTTTGCGCATATACTATAAGCCGCGAGCTGGATTCTTGGAAGAGAATCGCTTATTCTAAGCCCTTACCCGTATATTGCTATCAATCTTACACTTGTGGAAGAGGAAGGGCCCACCTCCTAAAGCCAGGTCTCAACTCTCTTATGAAATAACTGAGGCGCCACCTGGATCAGGACTAGGATATATGACTACACTCTGTTCGTCGTATAATATTGTTTAAACTGGTGTAACTTTTGACTGATACACTAAACACCATACACTAACTGATTCATAGACAAGCTGGCCATAGCCGTGACAGTACCATCCGAATAAATCAAATTCTCACAATGAAATCCCCGAAGCGCCTGATATGCTAACCTTAAACTAAACACAACCTACCTGGCCTTACCCTTTGGTATGCGGAACGCTGGCTGAAAAGACTCTTTTTACATACATGACCCCCACCACGCATATTACTTATTCCCCAGCCTCCTCGATTATTTCTTATTCTCCTTCTTGTGCTTCTCCAATGCCTCTGCCAACTCAATCGCCAGCTCCTTTGTTTTGACCTGGATCATCCAAGTCTCCAATCCATCGCCCTTCTCATTGGATGTAGTGATCTTAACATACTTGTTGTCGGCCTTGTAGCTCATTTCGGGCATGAGAGCTCGGTTCAAAGCGACATGTCCACGTGGCTCAGCACGCAAAAGAAGGCGGACAAGCTTCGTCTCCTTGTTCTGCAGGACACGAAGAGGTCCGACTCCTTGCGTAGACCAGGGACTCTTGCTCTTAGGTTGGTCGTCTCCTTCACTCCCAGCAGGGATGAACTTCAGGACCTTGGCACGAACTTCATGCAGCGTGTCCTCGCCCTCTTCAGCACCATCCGTCAGGTTGATTTGCTCGTGCTTTTCACCTTCTTCGTCGTCGGCAGCCTTGGTTGGTTCCTTGGCCGGTTCCTTTGCAGCTTCTGCTTTGCTTGTAGGTTCCGGGGTCCCGCGCGCGGGTGTGGTGGCTAGACTGGAACCATCTCCAAGACTGAAGGGAGTGTCTAACCCCGACGCTTTAGCGGGAGAATCTTCCGTCCAGGATAAGGGGACTTACTTGTCCCAGTGGAGGGGCCTCCAGTGGGCGGTTGCAGGTTGAAGATGTTCTGGTTGTTGCCAAATGGCGTGCCCGCACCTTGCTGAGGCTGAGCATTGATTCCCGAGAAAGCGAAGGTACCTCCAGAGCTGGGTGCCGATCCATTAGTGTTGCCTTGGTTCATGCCGAAAATGGGGGCGGGGGATGCATTATTAGCATTAAACTGGAAAGGACTTGAGCCCGAGCCCGAGCCAGAGGCAGGTTTTCCAAACTCGAAGCTTGGGGTAGTCGTGGCCGACGCTCCAGAACTGAAGGGGTTGTTGATGGTGCCTGACGAGGCGGCGAAGTTGAAGTTCATGCCACCCGTGTTCCCACTGCCTGCTGGAGGGTTGGACGCAGGACCAAATATGTTGCTTGAAGGAGCTGGAGTGGAAGCCGCAGCAGCTCCTGAACTGGGGGCGTTCCAAGAGAAAATAGGGGCAGCTGCTGGAGTGGTTGTATTTCCTAGGCCTGAGAAGATTGGCTTTGCTGGCGATTTGTCATCCTGCTTCATAGGACTTCCCTCAACCATGGAATTGTTAAAGGATGTAGGGGGCGACTTGGGGGCGAACAGGGGCGTTGAGTTAGCTTGAGCGCCACCATTTTGAGGAGCCCCAAAGGAGAAGCCGGATGATGTAGCTGGTGTCGTAGAAGCATTGTTCTTGAACAGGCTCGAGCCGCTGGAAGATCCCGCTCCAAAGAGATTGGATGTAGGCTTGTTACCGACAGTGGAGGGAGTAGAGAACCCTGAGAAAGGGGTCGCAGCCTTGGGAGGTTCGCTGGCTGCAGGCTTTTCGGGCTCCTTGTTGGTTTCCGTGGGCTTTCCAAAAAGAGTAGTAGAGCCCAGAACTGAAGGGGTGGAAGCTGCCTGAGCTTTCGGAGCACCAAACAAGCTTGAGGTAGTGGTGGCAGAAGATGGCCCAAAGAGAGATGGGGCCGCAGCCGGCGTCTCCTTGGGAGGTTCTGCTGCAGCTGGCTTCAGACCAAATGAAAAACCAAGGCTTGGCTGAGGGGTAGCTGGTTTTGTTCCAGCGGGTGCTTGGTCCGAGCTTGGAACGTTCTCTTTGTCCGACTCCGCATCCTTCTTTGCCGTTTCTGTGAAAGCTTCTTTGGGCTTTTCCGCAGCAGCATCCGGCTTGGGAGCGCCGAAAAGGCTGGAAGTGGATGACGGCTTGGAGGTGAAAAGACTAGGCGCTTGAACAGTTGTAGATGGCTTAGAAGCAAACGCGGACGATGGTTTAGTGGCAAAGAGAGGAGAAGCTTCGCTGCTTGAGGACGTTGCTTTAGAGGTGGTAAAATTAAAAGAAGTCGAACTGATGACAGATGGAGCAGTAGATGGAGCAGCAGCAGGACTTTCCGTCTGAGGGGTGGATGTTGGCGCAGCGAACTTGAGGGGGGCTGCGTCTGGCTTCCAGGTCTGATCCTTGAGAGCTGCTGGCGCGGGTTCAAGAGGAGTGGTTGCACGAACAGGCTGTCCACCTTCATCCTTGGTTATACGATCAAAGAGGCTGCGTCCAGGAGTGCTCTCCCGAGTGCCAGCATCGCTAGGCGTATCAACTGTGCTTGTGAGAGCAGGTCTCTTGGCGCTTCGTTCATCTGCCTGCTCAGCCTCTGGGCTCTCTTCCGAGTCGCTCTCACTCTCTGCATCGGCATCAACCCCACTGTTCTTTGCAGAACTGTTATCCGACAAGTACCCAAAAATATTGCCGTTGGTGCTCGAGGCAGCCTGTGCAGCTTCCGACTTCAGCACCGAGCGCATGAGATTGTTAGTGGCAGGCTTTGCAGAAGAGAAGCTTGGCTTTGCAGGCGTCGTAGAAGGCGTCGACGATGCCTTGTTGGCAGCCTGCTCGAACAGACTCCTAGCTCCAGACGTAGGCCTTTGCACCTTGGCAGGTGGGGCTTGTGTTTCTTCACCCAAAGATGCCTTTCTCTTGTTCTTGGATGCCACAGGTGGTGCAGCAGCCGGGGTTGTAGATGGGGCAGTCGCCGCAGCAAAGGGGGCCACAGGAGTATCTGTCTCAAGGTCGCGTTTCTTCGACTTGAGAGCAGGCGTAGACAGGCCCTCCCCGTCATCCGTAGCCTTTCTCTTCTTCTTAGAGGTGGTTTTCGTGGGGGTAGGCTCGGCCTCCTCCTCCTCTGGGTCAGGTAGGCCATGCTCCCGACGCCACCTCTTGAGGATCTCCTTTGATGGCTTCACGTTTTGGAATTCGTACAGACCGTATCGGAGCAGAATGATGCTGCGGCTCTTCTCAAACTCCTTTGCGAAATTCATCACATTCAGCTTCCAGCCCTTCTTGACAAAAATCTCATCGGCCGCATACTTGAGTCTGCGGAGATCGAGGATGCAAAAGAACTGCCGACGCTGGTCTTCGTCGAATTCGGCGGGGGCGAGATGCGCCAGGAACTGGTCGGCGTAGATGGACCCTTTCGGGTCCCAATCCTTGGGCACCTTCTGAGCCAAAGCTTCACCAGTAAGCTCAGGAGGGGGTGAGGAAATGCGCATGGGGAAAAGGTCCTTATCCTTTGCCCGAGCAGCGACTCCTCGCGTGGCTGATTGAGCCCCGAGCTCGCGGGCAGTTCGCGACGGCTCTGGTGTCGCACCGGGTGCGAAGACTCGCTTCATCGTACTCTGAGGCACGCTGGGGGAGAAGGTATTTGCGGTCGGGGGGCTATCAGAGATGGCTGATGCCCGGAAAATGTTTCGCTGTCCAGCGAAGCTCCTGCCTAGACTGCTTGCTGGAGGTTCGCTGCGAGCTATGAATGATTTGCGAATAGATCCTCCAAGAGGGGTGCTGCTTCCAGCTCGCTTTCCGATACTGCCATATGGAGAGGCTGCGAAGCCACGCTGCGAAAATGCCAGTCCGGGACGGGACTTAGGGGTGGCACTTCCCGCGTCTCCAGCGTCGTTGTCGCCGGGCAACGCGAAGGTTACCATTGTGAGATATGTTTTGTTTGAGGACGATTGGCGATAATAAGGGGAGTCAAGGAGATGTCAACCGACGGTTGAGAGATGAAAATGGAGATGTTTGCAGAGTATCGAGTATTTGTCGGGTTGACCTCGAGGAATTAGGATGCGGGCGTATGGAGTCAAAGAAAGGAAGAGAAAAGAAAAGAAAACTCTCGACAAAGTCAACAAAGGAGAGTGCGACAGAGATGGAAGGAAGGCTGCGACAAGACCGCGATGGTTGGGGATTGGTAGGGTACCAGAAAAGCCCGTCGCATGGCCGTTGTCAAGAAGAAAGCCGACGCGAAATTTGGGCGTAGGGTGTGTTTTGGTGGGAACAAGGCTTCCCGTCTCAGTGCCCAGCTTTTTATTTTTTTTAATAGGCTCAAGGGAGTTGCTAGTCGTACCTTCCGTCCAGTGGAGCGTCTGCCCCACTCTTGCGCACGGTTGCCTTGGAATCCAGGCTTTGAGGCCAGAGCAGTGGCCAGTCCTAAATTTGGTTAGGTCTGATGACTGCATGCAGCTACAACGTGATATTGCAGAGTGCTTTGTGTTCCATCACATAAAGGGCGCGGCTATTTATTGGCAGATTTTTTTCCAGTTTTGTTCGTTAGAACTAATCAATTTATGGATCCAATTTTGGCTACGTAGATAGTTAGATAGTGAGTGTGGTTCCATGGAGCCTATGCCACTCTCTCGCTGAGCCTTGCCCGGATGCCAGACGCAGGTAATGGAGCAAGAGAGAGGATGTCAG